GCATATGGAAATGGTAGGAGACCCTCAATGTTACACAAAATTACATAGAAGAGGATGTGAGGGGAAAGGTGGGGAAACAAGGGAGAGAATTGAACAACAGCAGATGAGGTAGAGAGGGATGATGGGTGGGGAGGGGAAGGGGGATAGAAGGGGATAAGAAAGGTAGCAGAATACAACAGTCACTAATATGCCATTATGTAAAAATGTGAGTGTGTAACCGATGTGATTCTGCAATTTGTATTTGGGGTAAAAATGGGAGTTCATAACCCAATTGAGTCAAATGTATGAAAGATGATATATCATGAGCTTTGTAATGTTTTGAACAACCAATAAAAATATAAAAAAAAGAACTAAAATCCTTAACACCAAAAAGAAAAAAACAACCCAATCAATAAATGAGCTAAGGAGCTGAACAGACACTTCTCAAAGGATGATATACAATCAATCAACAAATATATGAAAAAATTTTCAACATCTCTAGCAATTAGAGAAATGAAAATCAAAACTAGTATAAGATTTCATCTCATTCCAGTCAGAATGGCAATTATTAAGAATACAAGGAACAATAAGTGTTGGCGAGGATATGAGGGAAAGGGCACATTCATACATTGCTGGTGGGATTGAAAATTGGTGCAACGAATCTAGAAAGCATGATGGAGATTCCATATAAAACGTGGAATGGAACCACCATTTGACCCAACTATCCCTCTCCTCATTCTATACTCAAAGAACTTAAAACAGCATACTACAGTAATGTAGTCACTTCAATGTTTATAGCAGCACAATTCACAATAGCCAAACTGTGGAATCAACCTACAGGTGAAGGGATAAAAAAACTGTGGTACATGTGCACAATGGAATATTACTCAGCATTAAAAGAGAATAAAATTATGGCATTTGCAGGTAAATGAATGGAGTTAGAGAACAGGATGCTAAGCAAAATATGCCAATCCCAAAAAACCAGAGGCCAAATGTTTTCTCTGATAAGTGGATGCTAATCCATAATGGGAGGGATGGGATGTATGGAGGAACTTTGGATGAGGCCAATAAAAGGTGGAGAGTAGGCAAGGGGGTAGGAATGATGGTGAAATGAGACAGACATCATTACCCTAGGTACATGTATGATTGCATCAATTGTGGATAGATTTTTTAAACGATACTCTGTAATGTCAAAAAATATTTCATTGAGTATTAATCCAAATAATAAACTATTTATACTTTTGTTTCAAAAAATACAATTCCTTTGATAGAATGGAAAAATAATAAATTGATTAGACTTAAGTATTTTGGGGGAAGAGATCTGAAATGCTTGATCAATGGGTACTAAGTCATAGTGACATAAGAAAAAGTTCTTGTGTGTATGATAAGGTGACTACAGATAATAATTATCCACTACTTTAAAAAGCTAGAAGAAAGGAGTCTGGTTATTTGCACCGAAAACAAATGAGAAATGTTTGATGGAATAGATATGTTTAACTTGATTTAAACATTATGTAATGTGTACATCTATTGATATCACATGATACTCTTTTAATATGTACATTTTTTGTTTTCATTTATCATGTTTTTTAATTTAAAGTAGTACTCATATACATGAATCATTAAAAAAATTTCCACTTTGAAAACAGAAATCAAAGAATTCAGATGTGTACTAAAATAGCATGAAGATGAAGAGCTTTCAATGGTCTGAAGGAAAATATTTTGGATTTAAAAAAAACTTATGTGGCTAAATATTTAAAATAAATAAGAAGTGAGACAATTAACTAACAAAGAAATAGAATACGAACAGAAAAAGAAATTGCAGGGGCTTGAGTTGAGGCTCAGTGGTAGAGCATTTCCTTAACATTCATGAGGCAATGGGTTCAATTTTCAGCACCGCATATAAATAAAATAAAGATCCATCAACAACTAATAAAAATATTTTTTAACGTCTGAGCCAATGTCCCCATCAATGGAYAGAAGTCCATGTGCCTATATCACTCTGCCAAGTAAGGAATTTAAATGTTCCCRGATCCCCAAGGACTCAAGAGTGGATAGTTAGGAGCAGAGCTTCTCGGTGTGGGGAGGAAAGGAGGCGAGGGACATCCGAATCACAGGAGGCTCTTTTCAGATAGAGTGTACCCCAATACCCCCTCCTGCACAGTCCCAACCAGAAGTACACAACAGACCCCTCCAGTGTGTAAACGAGACATTTGAAAACCACCATTCCAGAGCACAGGTCTGCATCTGAGCAACCCCTGATGCCACACCCCTTCCCTCCTCCAACCAACCCCTTAACTCTTCTGTACTCCCTGGTGGCATCCATTCACAACCAGATCGGTCCGGGTTTCCTTGCCTCCGGCCCTTTGTCCCTCCACCCAATCCACCATGGTGGCCCTTTCCCATCTGCAGGCTCCGCATCCACACCTCCTCATTCAGGACGTCCCTGACCACTCATTAAAGTAGACTCTCCCGGTAAAAAAAAAAAAAAAATAATTAAAAATAAAGAAATTGCAATGACTTCTGAGAAGGAACCACGGGGGAAATATTTTACATAACCATTTTACTGAGGGGTTTAATATATAAACCATAAATATGGAAAATATATTTGCAGTCTTACTTAAATCATGAATATATTGTTCACACATAGTACAAAAAACAAAAGCAAAAAATAATACTTTGGTTTTTAAAAAGTGGCATATTGATACAGGCATGTTAATTGATTTGTAATATTAAGACTATTGTATTTTTTGTCAGAATTTATAGAAAGCATATCTTCTTACCTAAATATGAAAACATTGGAAATTTTCTAACCATACAATAATGCAATATTTTAAATTACAGTAGTATAATTTCAAAAGGTAGCTGCACATGATACTTAATATGAATACAATAGAAAAAAACTGCAGAAGTCTCATTCAAATATTTGATATATGTAGTTATGTTGGTGATATCAAAAAGATTTCAACTTATTTTCACAACTTTGCTTCATTATAAAGAAGTTTCAATTATGCAATATCTCCTCCAATTTATTGTAAATCCTTTTTTAAAGTTGTTTTAGTATAAAAAATTACAAATATCTACCTAATTGCCATCTTTCAAGAATATTCAATCTAATAATTTATATAGATATTCCAATAACTCTTTAGGGGTCCAAATTGCCACTGATTATCATAAAAAAATTGTTTTAGGAAATGAGGAAGCAAGAGATTTTTCTCTATTGTTTATATTAATGGTAAATAATGATGAATCACACTCCATTTTTAGTATTATAAAATAATTCTAAAATTCTTACCTGATACTACACCAATTCCATCATCACAGTCATAGTCAGAGACTTCACTATCACTTATTCTCTTTGACCCTATGAAGAAAACAACAGCAATAATTTAAATTGCTGATTATTTAAGAGGAAAAAAACCCTCAACCACCTGAAAATAAAAATATTTCAAGTTAGACACTTGAGAATAAAAAGTATAGAGAGAAGTAAAATAATTATGAATGAGTTCAACAACACTTATTTTCACTCATATTACAAGATATGAGGATAGAGGTGACGAGGAGTTAAAAACTTACACAAGAGTAATTCTGGAAATGTGTTAGACAAAGTTTCTAAATGGTTTAAAGCTTGATTTAAGTATGAAATAATTACATAAATTATTTGTTACTGATTGATGATAAAGTTAATTGAAAAATAGATATGTGCTGGGAGCAGTGGTACCTGTCTGCAACCCCAGCAGCTTGGGAAGCTGAGGCAGCAGGATCCAGAGTTCAAAGCCAGCCTCAGCAACTTAGAGAGGACCTGTCTTGTAATAAAATATAAAATAAGGATGGGTTGTGGCTCAGTGTTTAAGTGCCCCTGGGTTCAATTCCAAGTACCAAAAAGAAAAGGTAAGTTGGTATTTTATGATTTGGGGACAGAAGGACCTAATTCTAGATAAATTTCAAGATAAAATTCATTTTCAAAAGAATTAATGTGTCTTTTCTTAGCTTGTTTTTCTAAGAAATTTGTTATATCCAATTATTTTTCATGCTCATGGAGAAGTATAATTCAGAAAAGTCTATTTAAGATATTTGAAAACTTCCTATTTTGTAAAAATTTTTAGCTAATTATCTACTGCTTTAAGAAATGAATCATGGGGGCTGGGGATGTGGYTCAAGCGGTAGCGCGCTCGCCTGGCATGCGTGCGGCCCCGGGTTCGATCCTCAGCACCACATACCAACAAAGATGTTGTGTCCGCCGAGAACTAAAACATAATAAATATTAAAAAAAAAAAAAGAAATGAATCATGCATAAAATCAATACATCTAAATTATGATTTGTGCTATTTTCTAATAGCCTAAGTGCATTAATAGTTATTTTAATTTAAGAACACTGTGTGTGTGTTCCTTACAAAAGAAATCTATAACAAAATTTTAAAATGTTAGTCCTAAAATGGCATACTGGCAACAAATTAATTCAACTAGGGCTTTGATAGCTAATGCAGATTATGAGTTCATACTTAATTATGAAACATCATGTACAGAAATAAACATATTATTGTCTACATTTAATATTTATTTTCTTCTATATGTGTCTCAGGAATATACATACCCTATACAATAGAAGCCTTTTGTTAAAAACATTTTCCCTCTCATGATATTAGTAAGCATTTACTGATAAATGAAAACAGTGTTGCTGTTTCCAAAAATGACTTCTTTTGTCTTTCCTCTTACATTACACATTATTAAATAATTAGAGTTCAGTTTTATCAGAAAATATATGCTTTGTGGGCTGAGACTATAGCTCAGTTGGTAGAGGGCTTGCCTGGCATGCACAAGTCTCTGTGTTCAATTCCAGCACCGCCAAAAAAAAAAAGAAAAAATATATGTTTTCCTGTATTGTATATGGTATTTACTGTAGAGATATAATCAAAACGTTCTAGGAAATGCCCTCCAATTTTGCAGCCTACTCTTATAAATACTCTGTGTGTTTTTTCCCATTTCCTTTTGGTTTGTTTATTTGCTTGCTTAAATCCCTACCTTTTGAGGGAAGGCAAAGTCTATTGCCAGGAGCCAAAGTTCTCATTTTCTTCTTAATGGCTAGGAAGAAGACAATGTGCAATTTAAAATGTGCTGGATTTAATCCCAGCATTAGGGATTAAATCCAGGGTTGCCTGTATTCTATAAAAGTACTTCATCACTGAGTCACAAACCCGATCCAGATACTTGGTATTTAAATCATGTGATTCCACCAAATCGACTCTTATTATTTTCTTTCCACATTTTTATGTCATAAAGCTTTAGAGACAATCACATCAGAGGTATTTGTAGACCCAACTAATTTTGAAATTAGAATTATCTGACAACTTCCCAAAAAACTGGGCAACTTCCCAACGGAATGGGCAGAAAAAGATATGTAAATGAGGACATACATTCTAAATGGACTTGAGATAGGAGAGGAGTCACACAGATGGAACTATAGAGGAGAGAATTACAGACAGAGTTGCTACTCAGCCTACAAAAAGTTTTCATTTGGCAAATGCTCAAGGATGAGGGTAATGCTTACTTGACTGTACCTGGCACCAGTTTTACCTGGTATATAATGGAACATAAAGATGACCAGCTTTTGGTATTAGCCAAAGATCACATCAAGAATTACACCAACAAAAATGAAGTTCATTTTATCATCTTCAAGAACTACTCGTGTGTGTGTGTGTGTGTGTGTGTGTGTGTGTGTGTGTAGATAGGGAAGGGAAGGGTGTCATAAATGATTTTTAAATGCTGTTTCCTTCCATATCTTATGTTTATATTCAGATTGAGATTTTATCTGTTTTGATATTAATCCTGTAGAGGTTAAATATATTGCAATTATGTTCTCATTTTTTTTTAGTTTTTGTTCTTTGACATTGTAATGATGAATTCCTTAGTTTAATTAATTTATTAATATTTTCTATCAAAATTAGTGTTTTCACTATTTGTGGAACTATAAATTAGTACAACCACTATGGAAATTAGTATGGAGAGTTCTCAAAAAAACTAAAATGAAACATCATATGACCCAGCTATACCTCTCCTCAGGATTTATCCTAAAGAATTAAATTCAGCATACTATAGCAATACATCCATACCCAGGTTTACAGCAACACAAGATACAATAGACTAACTATGGAACCAGCCTAGATGTCTGTGAATGGATGAATGAATAAAGACAATGTGGCATACATACAAAATGAAGTTTTATTCAGCCATAATGAAAAATGGAATTGTGTCATTCACAGGACCAAGGATGGAACCTAAGAACATTGTTAAGTGAAATAAGCCAAACTCAGAAAGTCAAGGGCTTTATGTTTTCTCTCGTATTTGGAAGCAACAGAGGAAAAATGAAAAGAATGATGGTGGGAGATCTCATGAAAATCAAAGGAAGATCAGTAGAGAAAAGAGACCTGGGAGAGGGAAGAGGAAAAGGAAAGGGAAAAAAATGTGAAATGAAGAGTGTTCAAATTATACAGTTATATTGTAAATATATTGAATATGTAACAATGAATCCTACCATTATGTAAAATTGTAGTATACCAATTAAAATTATGGACAAAAATTAGTGTTTTCAATATTTTAAAAAAATCTTTCCTGACCTTATAAATGACTGGCTGATGATAAAGAAAGAATTATATTGGAATTGAATTCAATAGCAATAAATTTGTGAATTTTTCTCTCTAATGTTATTTTACGTGTATTGAAGTTATCAATACTTGAAAGATGAAGATTATCTCAATAGATGTACAGAAACATTTGAAATAGTTATCTACCTCCATCAAAAATCACAGACCGGTAAGAAGGGATTTTCCTCAAACTGATAAATGACATTCACAAAAATCTACAGCTAACATTACATTCAGATATGAAATATTAAATACATTCCCCTAAAGAAAGAATACATAAAGAATTCTCTTCAAGGATAAGTCTTATCTTCAACATCGTACTGCATATTCTAGATAGGTCAATACTATAAGGAAAATAAATGAATGCTGTACAGGTTATAAAACAAAAAGTATCATAATTATGTAAATTAAAATTCCTAAAAAAAGTATTAAAAAATTATGGTGACTAATACATAAATTCATCAGGTTCCAGAGCACACAGTCAATATAAAAGTTAATTATATTTCTTAGACAAAAGCAAAGAACAAATAGGAAACTAATTTCAAAAGCAATATCATTTACAAGACTACCCAAAATCATGCAATACTTAAGAACACACCTAATACAAAACCGTAAAAGTTCATCTCAGACAGCAAAACACTGCTATGTTAGTGTCCTACGACTTCTATAACAAGGAGTCAAAACTGGGTAGCTTGAAAGGACATCAATTTATTGTTTTATAGTCCTGGAGGTTAGAAGTCCAAAATCAACATGTTAGCAAGGCCATTTTCTCTCTGGAAACTCTGAGAATCTTTCCTTATCTTTTCTAGTTTCTGGTGTTTCCAGCTATCACTGATGTTCCTTCACTTGTAGATGCATAACTCTGGTTGCATGACCATCTTCTCCCTCTGAGTACTCAGATTATCTTTGCTCTGTGCACATCTGCCTCTGTGTCCTGATTTAACCTCATTTCTAACTTGGTTTACCTCTGCAAAAAACCCAATGTACACATAAGTCTATATACTGAGGCACTAGAAAATAAGTCTTTGACAAATCATTTTTTTTACCTTTCAATAATTTTATTCTAATTTGTTATGTATGAAAACAGAATATTAAATTCATATTATGCATACAGAACATAAATTTTAATATCTCTGTTGTACACAAAGTAGAGTCACACCATTCATGTCTTCATACATGTGCTTAGTGTAATAATGTCCAWTCATTCTACCATCTTTCCTACTCCCATGCCCCCTTCATTCCCCTCCTTCCTCTTTGCTCTATCTAGAGTTCGTATAATCCACCATGCTCCTACCCTCCCAATCCCATTATGAATCAACATTCTTATATCAGAGAAGACATTCAGCATTTGGTTTTGGGGATTGGCTAACTTCACTTACAATTATATACTCCAACACCATCCATTTACCTGCCTAATTGCCATGTTTTATTCTCTTTTAATGCTGAATAGTATTCCATAGAAGATGCCGTCAGAAGCCTACAAACCAAGAAAAGCCCAAGACCAGATGAATACACAGGTGAGTTCTACAAGACCTTTAATGAAGAACTAATACCAATACTCCTCAAATTATTTCATGAAATAGAAAAAGAGGGAGCACTTCCAAACTTATTCTATGAGGCCAGTAAGACCCTGATTCCAAAACCAGGCAAAGACACATCAAAGAAAGAAAACTTCAGACCAATATCTCTAATGAACATAAACAAAAATTCTCAATAA